AACATTTTAAGATAAAAGTGCCACTTACCAATGACCATCGTTTCTCTAATGCACTCTTGAGGGCATTAACTTCCAACAAACAATGGCAATTAGAATTAGTTAAGGCCTTTTAATCATAATATTTATCCGTTCAATGCCTTTCCGTTGTATAAATAATTAAGCGTAATTATAGATCACAGGAAAATGTTCGATGAAAAATCAATTTCAGTCCGCAGTAGATATTGACATTATACTTATATATTTTTTCCTTTATCTTTTTTATTATATATTTTACACATAAAAAACAAAAAGCTACATCAGAGGCCTAAGATAAAATACTCTTTATACCAAAAAACACCTCTAAAAACAGTAAAAAATTTTTTTTTTTGGAATAAAAGAAAGTATATTCTATTATGTATATCATTGTTACATTTGTTTACGATTTCAGCATATTCATATTTTATTAAATGGGAGTTTTTGTATAGAAATAAGTGTACCAGATGAGCACATGGATTTTCTGATTGTGAGTGAACACTGTGGCCCATAGACACCTACATTTATCCATTTATATTTATAGTTAAGAATCTAAATGCGGAATGCGGATGCGTTGTCACCTCCGAGGACTAAGATGAAATACCACGTTACAAGTAAAAATGAACTCCGGTTCTCTACACTCACCATACAAAACATATCCGTATTATGCTATTATCACGCCGGGGTACTAAAAAGTTACTCAGCTCAGCACAAATTCGGGATTATTGCCAGAGCACCTCGACGCTAGTATAAATAATATATCATTTTAGTCGCGTAACTTGACTACACCATCATTAATCAGTGTGGAGTAGGAAAAAATTGTACCATTTTAGCCAAGCGCCACCAATTTTCCACACGATACAATTAATTTTAGTCGTCCATGTCGTGTCTTTACCTAAACGAGGCTTGCAAACGTGAAATTAATAGTATCGGGTTTGGCGTTCCGCACGCAACGGAGAAAAACCAATCGGCTTCTCAAACTCTTTCTGCTTAACTTTATTCCTCCATTTCCATTTCACCGTCGGAGTACTAGACGCTCGGTTTGATTCGTAATTATTAATGCGTACAGCAATGGAGACAAATAATTTGACAGCATCTATCTCTCCATCAAACCACTATGAAAATCTACATCAGTACACACATCGGGGTTTTAAAGCCAAGAGTGAATAGACTTTTAAGCTATGTGCTCCACCATTTTCGGATGCATCACCAATTATTATCAGATGAATCAGTAGTAAAGCACCGGCTTCTAATTAGGTTTGCTAGATCGGAAGACCAAAATATCTGGACAAATTTAGAAACAGGAGTTTGTGGTTGTTGTCTGGAGAAATAAATATTAAAATTAAAAAGATTTTTTTAAATAAGAGGCTACAGAAAGTACTTTCATCATCATCATTACAGCCCTTCACAAGTCCACTGCTGAACATAGGCCTCCCCCAAGTAATGCCACAAAGCACGGTCCTGAGCCACCTGCATCCATCGACTTCCTGCATGTCTTACCAGGTCGTCACTCCATCTAGTGGGGGTCGCCCTACACTACGCCTACCGGTACGAGGCTGCCACTCGAGAACCTTTCTTCCCCATCGGTTATCGGTTCTTCGAGCTATATGGCCGGCCCATTGCCACTTCAGCTTACTAATCCGTTGGGCTATGTCGGTCACTCCGGTTTCACTGCGGATATCCTCATTTCTGAGTCTATCACGCAGTGAAACTCCGAGCATAGCCCTCTCCATAGCTCGCTGAGCGACCTTAAGCGTCCTCATACGGCCAGCAGTGAAGGACCACGTCTCAGATCCGTAAGTCATCACTGGCAACACGCACTGGTTGTACAATCTAGTTTTTAGAGATTGAGGTATACCTGACGAAAAGATATGCCGTAATTTCCCGAACGCTGCCCAGCCGAGTTGAATCCGTCGATTGACCTCTCGGTCGAAGTTGGACTTACCTAGTCGGACTATTTGTCCCAGGTAAATGTATTCGTCAACAACTTCGAGCATAGTGCTCCCAACAACTACCGGCATAGGTGTGACATGGACATTGAACATGATCTTTGTTTTGTCCATGTTCATCTTAAGACCTATCCGTTGGGAGGCACTATTGAGGTCATTGAGCATAGTGCTTAAGTCCTCCAGCGATTCTGCCATAAGGACTATATCGTCGGCAAATCGAAGGTGAGTGATGAACTCGCCATTGATGTCAATACCGTATCCTTTCCAGTCCAGTAGCTTGAAAACGTCTTCCAATGCAGCGGTGAAGAGTTTCGGGGATATAACGTCACCCTGTCTTACACCTCTCTGCAGTTGGATAGGTTTCGAGCTCTGGTTCTGTACTCGGATAGCCATCGTAGCCCTACTGTACAAACACTTCAGCACTTCGATATACCGACAGTCAACTTGACACCGCTGAAGGGACTGTAGCACCGCCCAAATTTCGACGGAATCAAAGGCTTTCTCATAGTCCACATACGCCAGGCAAAGTGGCAGATTGTACTCTTCAGTCTTCTGTACAATCTGCCGCAGGGTATGTATGTGGTCTATGGTACTGAAGCCTTTTCGGAAACCGGCTTGTTCGGGAGGCTGGAAGTCGTCAAGTCTGCGTGCGAGACGATTCGTAATGACTCTCGAAAACAGCACGTAGACGCGGCTCAGAAGGGAAATCGGTCTGTAGTTCTTTAAGAGAGCGTTGTCGCCTTTCTTAAAGAACAAGACCACCGCACTTCTGCTCCACGCCTCTGGAGTAGTGCCACCATGGAGGACGGAATTGAAGAGCTTCTGAAGGACTTCAAGTACCGGTGTTCCACCCGCTTTCAGAAGCTCCGCTGTAATTCCATCCTCGCCTGGGGCCCTGCCGTTTTTAAGGTGCTGGAGAGCCATTCTAATCTCGCTTAGACTGACGTCCGGGATATCATCGGAATAGTGTCGGATAAGACTTGCTCTTGGATCGTTACTCACACTTGCGTGTGGCTCCAACGATGATGTGTACAGCTGCCCATAGAACCTCTCAATCTCACTCAAAATCTCAGGTGTCCCGGAAACGATATTGCCACACTCAGTCTTCAGCCTTGACAGTTGGCTCTTAGTAAAGTACTTTAAACAAAACTAATTTCAGTACACTTAATTTTAGGTTGCCTCGTGTACTTGATATGAGGGCTTTACTAGAGTCCACCAATTTGGATCTTTTAGAAGTAATGAGAAAAGATTTAATATTCAAACAATTTACTTCAAAGTTCAGTCCAATTAGTAATTAATTTTTAAAGGCCGTACGTTAACATTCCCAGAAGCTGTTTTTCTGGAGATTTTTAGTTTTGTCAGAAGTCTGGAGTTCATTTGATATGTTGGGAGAATCCAGATGAATCTCGACCATCTGGCAACCCTACTTCTAATAGTTAAGATAAAACTGTTTCTTAATGAATAAGGTAAAGTTTTCCTTAATCTTTAAAAACACCACCAATGTTATATATATTTCCATAATGTCTGGTAACCACATCAACCACTTATTCTTAGGGTGAAAACGCATCTACATTATGATTGTTAACTAACACTAGATGCGAGTGCTCATGAGACACAATATTCTTTTACCAGGTCGATAGTGTGCTTATTTGTAATCTAAACTTGTAAAATAAATTTAATTTTTAATATTTGAGCAAGGTGAGAGTTCACAAGAGTAGTCGCGGAGACAATTATGTTAAAGCACATTCTCCACATACTACTCGTCAATCATAATTTGAACTTTTGTATGGTCTCATTCCACGAAACTTTAATGATTTTAATATTTAAAACTTTAGATGTATTCATTTACAATTTTGTTTTTATAATGTTAATAATAAAAATTTTAAAGTATTTTGGTTCTAATTCAGGAGTGATAACAATGAGTCTAGGATTACAAGTATCACAAGTAGGTTCAGGTAGGTTGTGATGGATTGTAAATATGTTTTTTAAGTAACGAAATTAAATTGTAGTCCACCTGATGGGAATTGGCAACTGCGATCCATGGATATCTGTAACCAATTGCCACCTCTGAGTACTAAGTTAGAATGCCCCACAGGATGTAATTACCTGTTATTTGACGGCAGAAGTGTGGTAATTACTCATCGGCAGTGTCGTATTTAGATAAGGTGAGATTTACTACAAATCGGTTATTTAGTAAAGTTAATATCGAATCTATTTATTTGCATCTAAAAAGTTGAAGCAATATTACAATAAAAAGTGATACGGAACCAATCAAGTTTAATGTCTACTCTGTTCTTACTCTTAAACTTTTTTCTCGCCACGTGTCGCCCGCCGCCCATCGATTTTGTACCATGTGAAGTAGAGAATATTTTTTTATATAACACGCAAACTTTCTACGCTCTATTAGCTTTGGTCTATAACCGTACGCCCATGGGTGTCAGAGAACATATCCTGTGAATTTCACGCTAACGAATTATGAGAATTCCTTGGTTTTTTTTAACAAGCTATTGACATTTATGTTGTATTTACTTGTGGAATTTATTCGTAATGTTAATTTTAATATCTTAAAACACGATAATTATAGTATACTTAAATTAAAGCAAAATATATTCATTATATAGATATTGTAAACACAATTAAATGAAAAAGTTGCCAGTAAAGTCATAACTAATCGAAAATCATGTTTTTTTTAACTAATATCAATTGTGGCCAAAATTCGAACAATTACATAACATGCAGTCATAAACATGACCATTTAAATGATTAAAGCTTTTTACGCAATACACACATGTATGGAATAATCATGTGTGTATTGCGTATGTTCACTTTATTTTATTTTCCTTAAGTATGGTTGTAATTTACATTCACATCCGATTTTTTTACGCGATCAAAGGCAAAGTACCTTTCGAATCATATATATGTTTCATTCTCCTCTTTAATAATAAATACTAAAGCTAAAAGTACGTACGGCAATTTATCATGTTCACGCATTAATATTATGATTTTAAACTTATTACTTAAACTTATAATTTTTTTCAGGTAAGCCTACTTTCTTCTACTTACTACCTAGAGGTAAGTTTTATAAATTAATCTCTTAGTCGTATAAATTTTTAATGTTTATAAGTATTTTTTTTATCTTAGCTCTCCGATAGTTCTTTAAAAAATTTGATACAAAATTGCTTTCGAGTTCGCGCGTATTTATATATTCTCTTAAAAAACTTTTTTGAGCAATAGTAACCCATGGTCGAGTACCGTACAACTAGTTAAGTAAGAAATTTTAACATTTTGACAGTAAATTTTCAACACGATAGTCGTAATTGTATTACAACTAACAAACAAGCATCAATAACAAACACATTTGTACACAACGAACAAGAGATCAACAAAAAACACAAGCAGTCATGCGCGCGTTGCGTAACTCGGCGCATTTTCCGCGCACGCGGCCATGACACACATACACACGCCGCGCCAAGTGCAATGTTGTCGGCTGCGACCCGAGACAGTGTTGCCAGATGCAGATACTCCATTTGGCGAAAAGGGAATACGCTCCTCGACTCTATGCGGTTTAATGCATTCCTAATAAAAAAAAACTTTTTGCAAAATTAAACGCCAGTAACTTAGGTATATAATTTTTAACTAATTATTAATTCATGTATTTATTTGATATTTAAAATTAGTTTTTATTTTGTCCCCTTCACCATTTGATGAAAATATATAACAAAATGTTTTCAGCAATTGAATCCAAAATTTAATATTTAAGAATTACTAAAATAAAAGGACCATTTAACTGGTCTTTGTCATATTTGAGGATTAAAATGAAATGCCTCGTTGCCAGTAAAAACAGATTTTTTTATGATGATATACTCTGATGGTAAGTAGGCCGCTCAATAAGTTTTGAGATGCTCGAAATTTAAAAATGGATCGCACCCGTGTTTTATGTTTTTAAAAAGCAAATTTATTTAAAAATAAAACTCCATAAGCTAGTTGCTCAATATTAAAAATAAAAAACAAAGTTCTATTAATTTTCCTGCAACGCTTCCCGAGCTTTTCATTTAAAGCGATGGATCTTAACCGTGAACACTTGTGCGCTATGATCTATTACGATTTTAAATTTGGTTTAACCGAACAATTAAGTTTACAACGATTACAATCAGCATTAGGGGCTCAATTCCATCACGTGCAATAATTTTTAGGTGGTTTGCTGAATTGAAATGGGGTAAAGTTAACATTAAAGATGACCAAAGAGTCGATTCTGGTGACGAGACATGGATCTATCAATATGATCCGGAAAATAAAGGGCAATCATCGGAATGGGTCTACTCAGAAGGACAGTTACCGACAAAACTGCAAATCCCTCGCAACGTCGGCAAAAATGGTGGCTAGATTTTTTTTCTCGGAGCGGATATTTGTCGACGACTGGAAAATTGTAGGTCAGTCAACTTTGAATGGTATACTACAGTTGCATTACCCAAAGCTTTTCAAGCTGCGCGGGAGAGAAGACCAAAGACCGGGCTTCAGGGAATCATATTGCATCACGATAACGCCTCTTCACATACCTCCCTTAGAACAAAATAATTTATTGTGGAATCTGGTGTTGAAACTCTAAATCCCCCACCCTACAGGCCTGGCTTACTTTCTTGTGATTTTTTTTGTTCTCAAGAGTCAAACTTTTTTTCAACGTCCGAAGAAGCCGTGTCCGCCTACGAAGAAAGACTTGACCTGTCAGATCAAGACGGCAAAAGGTTTTCAGAGTTGGTTTAGGCCCAAATGGAACATTTGTAAAGAGCATGATGGAAAATATTTTGAAAAGATGTAAAATAAATATTCAATAGTATCTAGAAGTACTTTTTGGTATATCTCAAAACTTATTGAGTGTCCTACGTAAGTAGATACTGCGGACCTGGACAAATAAAGCCAACTTCATACAAAGAATGCATTGTCGCCTCTGAGGACTGAGATAAATGCCTCACGTAGCTGGTTCTGGTCAGTTACGGTTAGCACAAAAAACACAGCAGCATTATTCTTCTATTATTTATATACACTATTCCCTGGTTAAGACGACACATTCTTGGTGCAGCGTGTCGTGTCACATATAAAACCTACGTCAAGTGTTTTTCTCTCCTTTTCAAATCCCAATAAGCAAGAAATTTTGTTCGTCTTTTTCTTTGTTACCATTATAATTTTCACTAAACAACGGAGGACCAACTATAAATCAAATCGCGGAAAATAGTGTGCCAACACGTGTTTTCCGCACTGTGACCATCCGGGAAGGAAATATACTTTAGTATAAATCAACGATTCAGCTCACTATCTTGAGCTAGGAGTAACCGGAAGATGACTTGGGTTGCTAACCTATTCGTTGTATATGGATTCGCTATTTATGTACTTTTTATGTATTTGTTTTTTTTTATACAACGACCCCCCCCCCCCCACATTCGGATTTTGTCCTGTATCATGGGGGCAGTTTATAAGCATAAATTCCACAAGAACAAACATCCAGACCCGGAACAATTATTTGCAGGCCATAATAATACTTGTTACGTCCGGGATTCGAACCTGCGGCCCCCAGCGCAGCAACTCATTGGTAAGCCACTGCGCCACGAAGCCCTCTTCGCTATCTTCTATGTTTTATTGGAAGACATGCGGGCTCGTCCTAGTTTACATAATATTGTCCAAAATTGTGTAAACAGATCAGAACATGTAAATCTTTTGCTACAACGTTTTTTTTTTATAAACTTGAATTGAAAATAATTTCATACGTGGTAGAGCCACGCTGCAGCTATATTACGGTTATAGCACGAATGGATTGACACGACCGGGGCAGGACCACGCTCTCACAGAATACCAGCGTAAAGTAGTGGCTTAATTCTGCTGTGTTTCGTATGGTGAGTGTAGAGATCCGGAGACCCTTTTTTACTGGAAACGAGGCATTTCATCTTAGTTCTCAGGGATCTGCGTTTTGATCCACATCATCCACTTACTAACACGTGGACTGTGTGCTTGTTTGTCACCCTTATTCTATAAAAAATAGACAAAATATATATTTACATACTTACATATATAATAAAGAAAGAATTACAGTATAAAACGAGGGCGCAAATGATAATTTAGGTACTTTTTTAACTACTTTTTACTGATTGCTTTTAGCTAGAGTTAATAAAACCTTATGAATTTTATTTTTGAATCCACTTTTAGTATTATTAAAAGGATCAATTGAGCAATTTTTTATCTTAAGTCATTACCAATCGGTCGGGTGAAAGTGAATGTAAAACGTCGATTTTTGTATAAGCCAATAAGTCAGGGCAGTCAATTCCTCCGTGTAATATATCGAATAAAAGTCCCATATCCAGCAGAATACGTCTTTCTTCAAGCATTAACAGATCGTAATATCTGCAATAGACTCGATATGAAGAGCCAGAACGTTTAAATTAAAATTTTAAGTGGGGGACGATTTTTTTTTTTGAATCCATTCGGTATTATGAATATATTTAATTTAATGGTGACTATATCTGAGAAAAATACTTTAATATAGATCTGACATATGTAAAGTGTACAACTTTTAGGCTCGGTAAATAAGAGAAAGGAAGACAAGTTCTAGCTACAAATCCAAAATTACAAAAAGTTTTATATGCTCTCTCTCTATATATAATGCATCTATATGCTCATTCATTATCATACAAGAGTCAAGATATACGCCTAGATCGTGTACCACCGAGGCCCTCTCGATTACGACGCCATGAAACTGTATGGAAAAATTATGGGATTAGTTTTCCGCGTAACACTTACCAATATTTACTGTGATTTTGTTATCAGCAAAGTAATGGTATAACATAGTCAAGTCATTTTTATGTAGTTCACATTCCTTGAATGTGCGTATGAGCAGATATTTTTAACATTAGCATAAAGTAAATGTTGAGTATTTTTATATATTAACATATATCATTAATATAGGCGTTGTAAAAGAAAGGACCAAAGAGGGAAACTTGAGGAACGCCAGAGGAAACCGTAACAAAATCTGACCTATAGCCACCTAGTACCACAGCCTGAGAGCGGTTGGTCAAATAAGATCTAATCCATCTCAGTAAGTCTCCATGGATGCCGAGAGACTGAAGCTTCTGGAGAAATATGACGTAATCCACACGGTCAAATGCTTTTTTAAAGTCGGTGTATATCACATCAACTTGATTTCTATCTTCCATTTCATTAAGAACGTAGTTAGCAAAACATGCATGATTGGTAATAGTAGAATGTTTTTTGAGAAAACCATGTTGTGTACTCGGAATGCGTCTAATTATTGTAGCATAAATATAATGAAATATAACGAAAATGTACTAAGAATAAAAATTGGACCTAAATTATCAATTTTAGAGCATTTTTTTAATCGTTATTATAAATACTTTTTTCCAAAGTATGGGAAAAACACTAAGGCTCTCGGTACAGGACTACAGAAAAACTATTATTGTTTGTAAAAATTGTGATTTGAAAACTAGTTTTGATTGTAAAAAATTAAAAGAGAAGAGCCGGCATTCTTAGCACTATACCGCTAAAAGTAGGACTGTATGATAATTCAAGTTTTTAGTTTTTATACTATAAATGTTGTATATTTAATGTCATATAATTAATTATGACATGCCTAATACTTAGAAAAAAAGAGACGTAATAATAACGTTTTAGTATACAACTCGGCCACTAATTAATTCATAGCTGCAGTATATGTGAGTCCGTGTTCTTGCAATAAATTCAGAATGTTTTAGCCTTGTTTTTGTATCACTAAACAAGATTGACACGAAATTTACACAGCGCTGAATCTATCTTTTTAGTCGGTCTGAGATTTATAGAGCTTTTACAAAAGTTCCAGAAAATCAAAGTCTGTCTTAAAAATGAATAAAACTAAATTTACGGATTTGTTATACTTTTTTTTTGTTTTATTCGAGTTGTTTGTTTTTAATTTAACAAATACATGGACCATGTACTTCTTCATCTAACTTTTTCATTTTTATCATCTTAATTTTTTAAATTCGATACAGATTAAAAATAATACTTATCTTAAAATCATTGTTATGCTTTTAGAA